TTATTTTTTTCATAATAATTATTTGATAAAATTTATATTTTATCAAATATTATGCTCAATTTATTAAGCTGCTGTTTTATTTTATTGATTTTTTTTATCTTTATAAAATTTTATTGAATATTAATTGTTTTGATGATTATAGCCTCTTAAATGTACGTAACGTAATCATTAATGATTTGCATTATATAGTACTTCAATAGTCAATACTCATAATTTATATTAATAACATTTCATAACTTTTAATCGTTTCAAATAAAGTGTATATAAAACTTTTGATATTAATAATTATCTTAATAATTTTATTTCAAATCTACAGTAAAACGATTAATGCCTTTAATAATTATCAATATTGTGTAATTCTCCAATTAAAGATATTTGAATATTTTATTACTGCTTTTCAATTTTGATATTTATTTTTACTTAATTTACTCTAGAGTTACTCTAGTCATAAAATGGGCAAAATTTTAAAAACTTTTAAAATATTCATTATAAAAGATAGATTATATTTTTAACGTGTTAGGAACTTATCACCACGTCACTACATCCTTTGAATATTATTGTGACAGAGCCACTTTAGTTCCATAGGCGAGTAGCAGTTAAAAATACCATTATATCCTTTGAAGACATCTTGCCTAATTCCGTTATAAGTGAATAGGCAGTTGATAAGTACCAAAGTCTGAGTCTGGCGAGACTATCATAGTAACACAGAATATGTTTTGCTGTTTTCTCTTCTTCTAAAAATTTTTTGTATATAAGTATGTGTTTAAGTTAGGTTAGATTAGGTTATATCGGATCCATTAAGGCCTATTGGCTGACCCATTGTAAGTATGTGTTTATACATACTATGTGTTCAAAACATAATGTTTTATTTCATTAGTTCGCTGAATATGACTATTCAATATTATCAAAAATTTTTTTAATATATAATTGAAAAATAATAATTCATGTTTTAATCAACTGAGCTATTAGCCCGGCTCTCTAGATTTTAAGTTATATAATTACTGTTGTGTATTATAACTTATTAATATATTTCTCTAAGCATAAAATTTCTATAATTTTAAATTTATTTAATTTTATTGTGTTATTTGATTTACAAAGATCTAAAGATCAATTTTTTTTAATAATATTTTAATAATTTTAATCATAGATTTTTAAAACTTGTGCTAATCTAAATAGTTTGGTTGATTACAATTTCCTGTTGCAAATTTTTATATTGATTACACAAAGAAAAAATAGTCACGCCATCTATTTAGTTATAGTATTTTTCACATAAAAATTTGTAAAATTAAAATCTGATATCTCGAGAATTCAGAAAAATAGTGTGGTTAGAGAAGTTGTTTTGAATAGTCGGATTTATCAAAATCCCTTGTCAAATCGTCACACCAATAAACAATTTTTTAACAATATTATTATTATTATTATAGTTTTTTTTTATTTTTATTTTTTTTTTCTATACTTTTTGAAGAATTTTTTTCGAAAATATCTATATTTTTACTTAACATTTTTTTAAATAAAGCTAAGAAATAAATATATATTACACTCTAATTAAAATAATGGCTGCAAAAATAAATTTGCTTTGCAAATTAATATAAAAGTTCTACAAACTATAATTTACTTTGTTTTGATAATTATAATTAAATATTTTTATTTTATTAATATATGCATACATGTGTGTATGAAGTAAATATCAAAAGTGCTTGTAACAATTTTCTCATTACAAAATAAAAAATTATGTCGTATTTATTAACATTTTTACAAATTGCTATAGAATTATATTTGCGAGAATACTGAACCTTGGACCCATAACTCGTGGGAACACTCATCCATTATCATACAATTAAAACAATTTAAAAAAATTTTTATCTAATAAGAAAACATATTTACTTTTAAATTTTTATACATATTTACATACCATATCATTATATTTATATAAATATATTTTATTGCTGTAGAAACTATAAAAGCATTGAGTTGTTTTTAAAAGGTTTTTTTGCGACCCCCTAAAGGTTTCCGATAAAACTATTGTACTTGATAATTCTTAGTGCAGTCAAGTTCCCTGTTTTTTACATTTGTAATTCCATAACAAAAACTAGACCATAAAAAATAATAGTTCATATCTAATCTTTGAATGTTCTAGAACTATTTACAAAATTTGCTATGTATTTGATATATGTATATATTTAAGTATATAAGCATGACCAAATATTGTTTTAAATTTTTAAATGGGTTTTTTCTCATTTTTTTTTTTTAAATTTAATGAACTTTGGCAAAAGTGTATGCTGTCATAAATTTATAGCGCGTGTACAGTTAATATTTTTTTTATCAAAACCCCTTTGAAGAGAAAACCCATTGATTGCATTATCAAAATGAAGTCAGAAACTGATGATCCGATCTACATATATACTTATATACAATACTTATCAAAATTTATTTCAGTGTAGATAAATAAATATGTAGTCATTATTAAAAACTTTTTTTAATTTAAATTCTATTTACCTTTTATATTCTTTTTTTATGAACTTGTTTAATATATATTTTCTACATTAAAAAAGTAATTTTTAATGTATTTTATCTAACTACTAGATCTCGTTTTATGTAATTATATCTGCATTTATAAACTTTTAAATATGAATTTCCATGAAATGATGAATACAGAATAAATTTAATTTTTTCAATGTTCAAACTATTCAATAAATACAGATATCCGAATTTACATCTAAAATTTCGAAATATTTGTATAATCATTTTGCATTAAATTAATATTAATACTGTTTTTACTAAATTAACAATAAATAAGTTGTGGATCTCAAAACTGGGGCCCCTTATATTACTATAGATAGTTAGATTGGAAACTAGTCATCATGTCACTGCATTCTTTGAGGATTATTGACAAACCCACTTTAGTTTCATAGGCAAGTAGCAGTAAAAATGTCATTATGTCCTGTCCTTTGGAGAAATGATGTCTAATTCCGTTATAAGTGTATATGCAGTTGATAAGTACCGAAATCTTAGTCTGGCGGTACAGAATGACACAGACTGTGTGCTGCTATTTCCTCTTCTTCGTAACAAAGTCTGCAGCTATTATCTCTTGAAATACCTAGGTTCGATAAATGCTTTTTGACTTCGCTATATCCAGTTAGAAACCCTGTTACAACTCGGATGCCTTTTCTGTTCAGCATTCAACATATTACTATAAATCTGTATTCTGTATTCTGTAAAATCGTAAAACTTTTCTTAAGCCGACAATATCTAGCATTGTCGATTCCTCGAAATAGAAATCTGTAAAGTAATTAATTTTTTGACTGGAGAATGGCGATAGTAACATAACAAATTTTCGAATTTTTCTTTCACAGTCTAATCCTAACAACTTGAGTAAAAGTCTCTTTTTGTGGAACACAAACTAGCACTTATTTATCAAACAGTGACTTTACTCCTTTTAAAATTTGGAAAATGTTTATACTTTTCTGGTAGGTTTGTTGAAATAGAATGTATTATTATTAATAGTTTAAATTATGTTATAAAACATAGCCTTATACTACAGTAAATAATTATATAAATACATAATGTATATAATATATTGAGATCCAGAACGTTATATATTCTACATACGCTGTTAGAATTGTTATAGTGCTTTGCGTTATTTATTTGGTATTTTTTATTTTTATATAAAATATTGTTATATAAAATATTGTTATATAATATTGTTTATATAATCTGTCTCCACTCTTTATCTAAGCAATGTCAAAATCTACCCTTTCATATGCTAAAACTAATGAATCCCTTTCCTATTCTCTTAATCTGAAGTACTTTATGTATTAAAAGTAGAATATACCACGTATTTCCTTCGAACAACTTAAAATTTGTTATTATAGAACTAAACTTAAAGGTAATTAGTGCGAATATTCATATATATATATATATATAACATATATATGACAGGTGATAATGAAATTGTTTTTATGACCTGTGACTTATGGTATATATGACGTTATATTTGTTAGTGAATATAGTTGGAATTCACTTTTCTTATCATATATAGGAAGTGTGTAGAAATACTTGAAGCGCATAAAATGCTCACCTTATCAGCATAGTTTTTACCCTCCTCTACAAATTGATTAACTATATTTTTGTTTTTAATAATGAAAACGACCACACATGAGGTATATGTGTATTTTTTTTTTATTCATAAATACGTCAATTTAAGAGGTTTTATAATGAAAACGTCCTTGATGTGCATATTAGTATTTGATAATTATTGAATTATGAATAATAAATTTGCGTATTTTAGTTTAAAGTAGAAAGTCAAGTACAATTTTAATAATACAATAAAATTTCCAACTATTGTATATTATGATCTCATGATCGCTATAATATTTGTACATTTATTATAGGCTTATAGGAGACTCCATAAAAATTCAAATCGGAAGATATTTTTTAAATAATCAGCAAAAATTTTATTACTAAATACATTTAAATAAATATTTTTATTTTTCCATAAAAATTGCAATATAAACTATTTACTTTGTTTTCCTTATTAAAAATCATTCATCTCTAATTATATATATTATCGCCTGATTTAGGTATTTTCGTTGCTATTACAAATTTAAATTGATGTCATTATTTTTGTATTGATTTCAAATATAAGCTAAAAAATTGTTATTACAAAGGCTGTTTTTTTTACTTTTATTAAAAATACTGATTACAACGTAAGTACGTCATACGGAATTCGATAAGAAATGTTATAGATGAGGGATTTATTATTTACAGCAAGGTAATTGACCTAGAAACAGAACTAAAAACTAGTAAATGAACCCATATTTTTTTACTCATAGTTTTCAACTATATTTATCAATCAATAAACAACTTTGCTATAAAAAATGTGAATGTGACCTACACATTCCATATGTGATTAATTTTTATTTATTATAATAGTTATAAAATATTTTTACATAAATAGATTTATTTATATATTAAAAAAAAAATTTTTTTTTTGTTTACAGGTAGCATGACTTCCGACTTTTTCCGTGTTGTTAATGAAGCCCGTCGCCATTCTTTAGGTCCATTCAGTCCATCTTTTAATATACAAACATGTCTATTCGAAGGTCTGCAAAAACACTTGCCCGAAGATGCACATAAACGTGTGAGCGGTCGTTTACATATATCACTAACACGCGTACATGATGGCAAGAACGTTATAGTATCAGATTTCAATTCCCGTGATGAATTGCTTCAAGCTCTACTATGTGCCTGTTTCATACCTGGTTTCTCTGGCATATTGCCACCACGCTTCCGTGGTGTACGCTATATGGATGGTGCATTCTCTGATAATCTGCCTATACTAGACGAGAATACTATCACTGTTAGCCCATTCTGTGGAGAGAGTGACATATGTCCACGTGATCAGAGTTCACAATTATTCCATCTTAATTGGGCCAATACAAGCATAGAAATTTCACGTCAAAATATTAATCGTTTCGTGCGCATCTTATTTCCACCACGTCCAGAATTTCTATCGAAATTTTGTCAACAGGGATTTGACGATGCAATGCAATTTTTACATCGCAATAATTTAATCAATTGCCGTCGTTGTGTTGCCGTCCAATCCACATTTGTTGTATCCGAGACTGTATCACATCCACAAGACTTTGATCCCGACTGCAGAGAATGCAAAAAACACAGAACTGTGAGTATTTCAATATTTAAATTTATTTATATTTTTCAGAGAAAATTATTAAAAATATTTCAATTATTATTTTGCAGGATGCATTAAGCTCTAATATGCCTCAAACCGTGCTCGATGTTATACAGGACTACATTGAACAAGCTAACAAGGGGTTAGCAAATTGGCTCTTCAAACATCGTGGAATTAAATTATTGTCACTGCCAGCAACAGTACCTATGGATTTCTTTTTAGCAACAGTTTCAAAGTAAGTTAATTTAAAAAGTTTATAGGCTTTAAAACAACAATTTTGAGAAGCATGGTTTAATGAACAACTAATAAATAAATTGTTATGTATATTTAATAAATTCTTTTAAAGTTATTACTTGCTTATACTAATGCTTATATTATAAATAACATTAAAAATATTATTGAAAAGAATTATATAAATTTATTTTAATTATAAAAATAAATTTATTAATTATAAATTGAATCATTTAGAATCATCTAGTATCATCTAGAATATATGCAATCATTTAATATTTTATATTAGTTTTTGCAATAGAAGATGTTTTGGGCACAATTGATAATATCTAACAGTTGAGCCCTAAGAGAGATTTTGAAAATAGAGAACATATTCAAAAAGTATAGAAATATCTATTTCTATCTATTGATAATATCTGTTTAACAGTTGAGACTTGTTATAAGAGAGATTTTGAAAATAGATATATAACTTCTGTTAATTGTTTTTTTTGCTGCATTAGTCTCTCATTCTTCAGATCTTCAGATTTTCACATCAAGTCTTGACATAATACAATATGAAACTAGTGCAGTTTTGCTTCTACATCTCCTATGTTTTACATACTGGACTCATGTGCAGCAACTAGTATCTTCAATTTATTTTTTGTGGTGCCAACTTATCCTTATCCTTTCGTAGACAAACAATATTTGATTTGTCTGTGGTCCCAATTCTAAAACAAAAACAAAAACTATAGCACAGTTATTGTTGTTATAACCCTCTGGAATCTAATTGTAAAATCCCTTTGAGGGATGGTAAACGACATTTGGGCGTAGTGGTTGACGAGTGACACCGCGACGTAGACCTGGCCTTTTTTGGAATTGCGACAAAGTATAGTATAACGCAGTGTTTTATCGTCTGTGATGAGTGGCGTCGTTGCAAAAACCCTGAGCTTAAAATAAAAATTTTAATTAAATTTAATGTACATTACATTTATTACTATTGTTTCTTCGTCTATATTCATGCTTCTTAAAATTTTTTCATCGTGTATCATTTATTGTATATAAATTATTTGTAGTTAATATCATTATTATCATTCTGCTTTTTATTTTTTATTTTTTAGAACCTTGAAGCAATTGCCAAAGCCATTTGGAAAAACTTTTGCAAGCGCCTAAACATTGATATTATATAGTTTATAAATTAATTTTTAAATACGTAATTAAATTTAATTTACTATAAAACTGGGTCACAAATATAAATAAGTTTACGAGCATAAGCATTAATTTAAAAATATCTCAATTTTTGTATGTGCTAAGAAAATTAAGACTAAATTAAAACTAAAATATAAAAATATTGTAAGAATCAAATAAATTAAGAAAGAATAGATAGTAAATTTTTTTAATTAAGTTTAACTGTTTAGTATTAATTTTAACAACGAATTTGTATTTTAAATTGTATTTTTTATTTTTATTTTTTTTTAATTTCAAATAAATAAATGATTTATATAAAAAAGAATTAAGATTTTTATTTCAAATATTTTTTTTAGTCTGGTTTGCAAATGTTTCTTCAAATATCAATTGGCAATAAATACTAAAAGCTTCTTCAAAACAAAAATTATTTTTTTTAAGTTTATTAATTTATTTTTTATATTTAATTTTATTTTTTATTCTTTATAATTTATTTTTATTTTATTTGTTATTTTATTATTTTTTCAAATTTTCTATTTTTATTATCATTTAATTTTTTTTATTATTTTTATAAATCTTTTATCTTTCTATTATTTAAATCTTTTGTTTGTTTTATTATTTAAAACTTTTATTTTTTTTATTATTTAAATCTTATGTTTTTTTAATATTTAAATATTTTTTTTTTCATTATATAAATTTTGCATATTTTTTATTTATTATTATTTTTTAATATTTTTTTATAATAAATTTACGTAACAAATTTAGTTACGTAAATAAAAAAAAACTAAAAAATATAATTTCCTTAATTATTTTTATTTTATTTACATTTTTATTCGCTTAACATTATGTTGCTATAATTTAATTGTAATTTATTGAAAATTTTTATTTGCTACTGATTATATACATTTTAAGTTTTAATGGATATAATTTATTTACAACTACGCTCAAATGTTCATATAATAGTATTAATTTTTTTTATTTTATTTTATTATTTACTTTAGAATTTCATCTTTGACGCCAAAATTAACAAAACAGATGCGTATATTGGTTGAAGAATTACTACAGCAATTAAATAATACAATACAAGCTCGAGTTTTTAACAAATTTACGGTAATTATATATTATAAATATATATAGAAATTATATATTAAATGTATTTTTTTTATGATTTACAGATTTGTGATCCACCTCATTTTGATACTACTGGTCTTTTACATTCCAGCCGACTTTATGGTCCACGAGTATCTATATTAGTAGATGAATAGTAAGTTTATAACTTAAATTAAATATTTTTCAATGCTTATTAATATTTCTATAACATTATTCCAGTGGTGCACCTCCACTTGAAACAGATGTGGATAATTACGAACATGTATTAAAAGTTACTACTCACAACGATGCGCTATACGCTTATTATTACACAGATGCACAAACTAATAAAGTAATTAAAAAAATGCTTAAATAAATCTAGTTTAATTAATAGTTTTTTTAAATTAAAGGTAAAAGTCACAGAAATATTTGATATGACTGAACATGATGAACTTGCAACTGATATGCAAGTATATGAAGGTTCTTGCGAAGATCTTCCAAATCCACATCAGCATCATCATAATGCCGTTGTCAGTGAATGGAATGGTGTAGAATCTGGTAGGTGCACAATAATAAAAATAATATAATATAATAATATATATAATATGTGATAATATATACTGTATACAATAAGTATTTTTTATCTAAAATTTAATTAATTTCTACTTTTATTAGCTTTATATAGTTCCTCTTACACGTCTCTCTGATTTCACAAATAAGTGAACATAATTTTTTTCTTTTCCAGTACAAATAATACCCTCAGCACCAGAATATCATGAAGATATCTTTTGATATCTAAAATATAAATTGAAACCCTCTTCGCTTTTTTAACTGCACATACAACTACTATTAGAAACACACAAATATATTAATAAATTTAATTTCAAAACATTTCACACACACAAATACAAAAAAGAAGCTAAATTTTGCAAAAATTAAATATAAAAAATAAATTTAAAATTTTTAAGGTAAATTGGCACATAAATTGGCATTTTTTATTTAAATTTGTTATTTAATTAAATTATTTTGTTTTAAATATAATACCGTCTGTAGCTCAATTGAAATATATATATTTTTTTCATTGCATATAAATTTAATAGAATAATGTAGATTACTAACTTATATATATTACTTTTTTTATATTTTAAAATAATAATAATTTTCCATTGTAGTTTTTTATTTTGTAGATGTCCTCAAATGTATATTTTTATATCACTTTTTTTGTTTTATTTTAAGTTTGGTGAAAAAAATATAATCTTATTTATTATTTTGTTTTATTTTTTTAATTTTTTTGTTTTGTTTTATAGTTTTAATTTTTTTTTTTTTGTTTAAATATATTTGTTTTAAAAGTTTTTATTACTTTTATTTTGATGATTCAGAAATTGTAATTCTAAGTTCCTTGTATATATTACCTTAAACATAATATTGTACATATAATTTCATAATTTTCAATAAAATAAATTTGATTTAATTAATAATTATTCTTTATTTTCCTTTGTAGATTTCTTTATTGATCAACAAACCGGATCTGCAGTACCAATAATAAATACTGAATTTAATAATGTCACAACACATTTTTCTGGAAACATTTATGAATTAAATGAACATATGGGACAAAATGTTGTAGATACTGGTATTTTTAATGATCAAAGAGAAACTAACATAGTATTTCCCCAAACCCCTGCCATTACACCTATGGCACTTTCATGCAGTAATGAATCCATACCATCAAACTCTCTAGCCGATACATTGAGAATAACGTATCAAAACTCTACGGATTTATGTATTGATATTGAATAATTAAATTAATTTTTAGATATATAAGTTAGGAAAATAAATACTATTATTAAATTTTAAATATTATATATATCATAAGTAATGTCTTAAGTATGTATAAAAATTAAATATATAGTTATTATTAATAAATAAAAAATTAAACCAAATATAATAAAAACCAAAAAGAAATTGAAATTTGAAATTTCAGAGAAAAAAAAATAGAAAAAAATAATATATACAAACACTAAAAACTTATTATGTATGCAAAAAAAAAATATTTTTAAATGCTTAAAAAAATATTTTCAGTTATTAAGCCTAAGTATCTATTTATTTATATATTAATATTAAAAACATCCTATCCAATAAATTTATGTATTTGCCATTATTATTTATATTTGAAACTCATTTTATGTTAAGTAGTATAGTATCATATATAAGAAACATATGTACCTAACTGCTGGCATATATATATGTATGTATATGTATATTCAAATATATTATTGTGTAATGTATGAATTACAAGTTAAACATAAAAGTGTGATTTTAATATATAGAAATATTTAAATTTTTATGTGTACTTTTATATAATTTAGTAATAAAGATAAATAAAAATATTGCACCTTGTTTTTATTTTAAAAAAAGTGAAATTTATATATATATATAAAATAAAAATATAAATTTTTAAATTACACTACTTTGCAGATAATAATTTCCAAAGACGAAACCTATATTTTATATAGTAAAATTTTCCATAGAATTCAATAATTATAATTTTTTCTGGAGTACCGTTTCATGTTATTTGCGACAAACATAATTTTTTTATTAATCAATTCATATGCGATGGCAATCATTTTACCTATTTGAAAATTTTATTCACAAAAACTGATATTAAAGCATTTGATATTAAAACGTAAACTATATAATATATATAATAATACATAATATATATAAAATAAAATAAATATATAAAAATAAAATAATGTGCAGTTATCTATACTTGCATTTTTCCCTATTGGATGTTATGTAGAAAAATAATAGTTTTGGCGCTAATAAGCATTTTGGAATAAGTTCAAACGTTAGGTTAGTATAAGATTTAGAATAGAAAATTAAATAAATTAGATTGTTCGACAAGAAATTATCTTTTTTAAGGCTGCTGAATGCAAATTTTAAGATATTTTTCTGCACCCTGCATTTTAATAAAAGATTTGATCATTAAAAATTTTCAGATTTGTTTTTACCATCGATAATTTGCGAAGTGTCTAATTCGCATCGAAATTCTTCCATGATAAAGCGTGGAAGAATTTTGACAACATATCCTTTGTAGTGGATATCGAGGTTTAAAATATTTTCGAGTTGTACTAATATATGCAGTCGTTAGCTGATGTGTGATTATCAAAGGTTTTTTGAAAGTTCTACTTACGTGTTCACATTATGCAAATCTATTCAAAAGTTCTTAAGTGCTTATTGTTTCTGTTGCAACTCAGTTCATCAACTAATTGTCGAGTTGAGTTTTGACTATTTTAATCAAGCAGTTTTCTATCTTGTGAGTGGTGAAATACAAGCTCAGGGTATTTGCAACAATAACGCCCGGTTTTCGAACAGTTAACATGTTGCACATTTCCCCTTAATTCCTTCTAATCTCATTTAAACTTGTTGAGTATTTCGGTTTCATCATTGCGAACACTATTATTCGAAAAAATTTACATCGTTATACATAGTATAGCTATTTATTATTTGTTTAATATATTTCTTGTGTTAATGTAGAGAGATATAAAATTACAGAACAACACTTTTCAAAGAAATTTAGCTGAGTCTATTAAAAACAATTTCCTGTGCGTCGATTTAGAATTTTGCATATACGTGCAATTTTTGATCTACGTGAAGACCGTTACCGAAACCAACTCAAATTTTGTGCCTGCTCTAAGTGCTAAATTTTCAATTCACATTTAGATTCACTGTCTACATAGCAGGGACTTTATTAAAGGTTCTACATAGTTGCAAACTTATAAGGTTTTCTACGATAATGCAATAGATCGAAAAATCTATTTGTATTTTTGAAACTAAATTATAATTAAAATAGATTATAAACTAAACCTAATTAAATAACATATCAAATAACATGAACAAATTATTAGAGCGTCATGTTTCATTTATTTTATATATCATATTTTTTATCGCACATTTATTTTGTATTGTATAATATATTTAAACAAAAATAAAATATTTAGTTTTACAACACTCAAGAATACTTCAAAAAGAAAATTAAATTACCCTCAACATTAAAATTTCCCATAGCACTCAGCTGATAACAAAAAAAATTTGTCAAAGTTTGCTGCACGCTGCTAGCTTTTAAAACAAAGTTTCACCCTTTAAAGTAAATAAATTGCATATATTTTATTTTCATAAATATATAAATTTCTTTTATTTCTGTAATTGAAAATTAGGCAACATGTTTCGTTTACCACCCAAAATTGATCCCGCTGAAGAAAGGAAACGTGTACGAGCAGATGTACGAAATAATTTAATATTTTTTGGTATTTTAGTTGGTGCTATTAGAATTGGTAAGTTAATCATGCATTTATTCTAAAATAAAATCAGTTTATTATTCAAATGATATAATTAATATCAATTATTTATGTAAAAATTTCATATAAGTTTTATTTATGTAATCAATAAAATGTGTTTTTTGTTTTTGTTGTTTCAGCTCCATTTCTTTTAAGTCGGCTAAACAGTCAATAGCCGGTCGAAGTCAATAATTAATACGGTTTAATTGTGAAAATAACTATTACAACTAATCATATTTACATTTATTTTCAAATGTTAAACAATTTAACTACCAAAATGTCTTCGGTTTAGTTTTAAGGTACTAAAGTTAATAAAGTTTAAATTAAAATAATTTTTTTTTGTGGAAGCTGAAGAGTTACGTAGCTTACGTTGAAAGGTAGTCTTGGAGAGTTTAGACAATAAATTTGAATTGATCTGAATTTAATACTTTGTAAAAACAAAAATGTTTTAAAACATATTTCTTTATTTCTATTTTATTTTGTGAAATTTATATTCCATTTATAAATAAATTACATAGTAGTTTTAAGCGCCACTTCGCGGTTTAAATAAATCTTTTGAAATATATGAAACATATCTTAATAGAGTAACTAATAAGAAACAATCACTGAATTAATTGATAAATTTTTAAAATATAATTTTTGACTTTCATAATTTGTAAAAATACTGTTACTAAATTCTTATAAACTTATGAGAATTATAAATTAAAATATATAAATACAATTTAATAAAAGATATGCTTTGGAATAGGTGGAATATAATTTAAAGAAAATTTACGTAGACGATATAAAAAATTATACGAAGACTGATGTGTAAAATATTCACATATATCGTGCTATAGTCACGAAACGATTTCAAATAAGATTATTACTATATTTACTTTAAGCATATGTAATATTAGTGTCTTTCTTTCTCAGTTTATAGTTCATTTCCATAATTACTCTCTATCTGTAAGCTTGAAAATTTTATCAAATTTATTAAGGGTATCACATATTTTCTCGTTATTTGCAGAACATTTCAATATTTATTTAAAAGTAAATTATTAACCTACGCACTGACATTTTTAAAATAGAAACAGACTAACGAAATAATTATATAAAATATATAAATGCAAATAATCACTATTTCCCGCTTTGATCAAGCTTTTTACACTTTCAGTTTTCGCACCAACGTTTTAAACTTAAAGAAACCGCTTTCAGAGCCAATCGATTAATTGAGTTACACAAAACAGAGAAAGTATGAATAAAAATTCCAAAAAGGCTTTTGAACCAAACTATTAATCAAGTCTTAATATTCAAACAATTATTATACATATTAATGACTAAAAATTGCTTCAGCACTTGAATTTAAAATTTTTAAAAATGTTGAATTCTTCGATATGTGCAATAAACGGTTTATGTGTATGCAGTGACCGTAAAACGATTAATTTTGAAATTATTTTCAATAAGGTTTGCGACAACACATGTCAGGAATAGCTTTCAAAAAATACATACAAATTTTTCTTATTTATGAGATATAAAGGCTCTTCATGACCTTATTTCAAGATACTATATGTGTTTAATGTGTTAAACTTTCTCGACGTTTAGCATACTATATTATAATTTTCCAAACCACATGTTATTTATGTATTTTTAAGTTGAATTGCTTTGAACAGCTGATATTTATTTTTGAAATTTTAATTTCCAATTTAAAAAGACGAATGCCATTAAAGTTAAAACTTAATATATAACGTATAAGAAAAAATAATAAATATAAAAATACGAACAAGGACAAATATTACTCTTAGCTAGCAAAATATTATGTGGTTATTCTAATAAATGCCATCATAGAAAATGTTAAAGATGTGCCTATAATCTTTAACAATTTAACAATTTTTAATCTATCCGTCAACTTTAAAATAAAGCACAACTCGGAGAAAAAATTAAGCACTTCAAAACGTAACGGAAATTTATATACATAACAACTATATACAATAAATTTAATATTTAAAACTAAAAAACAGTTCATTCATAGATCAAAAACAATATATTGTATGTTTATTAAAATTTATACGAAAATTAATCTTAGTACGTTTATACATTTATTTGAAAATGCATTCAATATAAAAAATTTTAATCAAGTCATTTTTTTGCTATATGCCAAAATTTGATATTAATTACAAAAGAAATTAATACACTTTTTTTTAATTATAATTACAAATAAATAATATTTCTGAATAATACAATAATTATATTCTATGGATAAATTTTTTAAATAAGAAAACTAGGTGTAGACTTAAGAAATTGGAGACTCTGATATAGCGCCATCTTACAATTTTCCAAAAATTTCTAGAAAACGTGTGAAAGAGAATTGAAAGAATTGTATCAGTTCATATAGAAACGCGCTTGGAAAAACACGCTGGTAATTGCACAGTTTCGTTAAAACGATTGACATTAGCTAAAAGGTAAAAGCTAATTATTTTTGTTTAACAAAATTAATCTCTGCTCAGTGAAAATTAAAATAATTATTTCTTACGCTATACGGTTATTAAAAATCACGAAAAAATATCAAGTACTTAAAAGAACTATTAACCGAATTATCTACGCCAATTAGTTAAAAATTGTTTCATTTTGAATTAATTAATTTTAATTAATTTTTTGCCTCCTAGTAATATAAATTTCACATCCTTAAAAATAATTAATTTTCAAATATATTGATTTTAAAATTGAACGGCATAAAATCGAATTTTCCTGAACTTTGTGTATTGTCGAAGAACAGATTCACATCGAAACTTCTGGATTGTTCTAAAAAAGTGGTTATATATTTTAACGTCTTTAACAAATTGTTAATTGTGATTTTAATTTCAAAGAATAAACTGAAAATCTATTAATTACAGTGGGACGGAAAGTATTCATAGAAAGCAGTTAATAAGTAAGAAATCGAAAAATGTCTGTGATTGGAATCGATTTTGGCAATGAATCTTGCTACGTTGCCGCTGCTAAGGCAGGCGGTATTGAGACATTAGCCAATGATTACAGTCTCCGAGCAACACCGTAAGTAAACCAATGCATTTTCAAATTAATTTTCTTTTTTATTATAATTGGAATAAGTGATTTTAAGATTTCTTTTAATTACATGTTTTGCAAATTGAGGTTAGGTGCAATATTTTCTCACTGCTGCGAATAAAATGAAAGAGAAATAAAAAGTTAGTGGTGGAAAGCGGTGATTCTGTTAAGTCATTTATTTGTTAACAGCTGTTAGGTTGTGTTGTAGAATGATGAGTTGTTGCCTTATGTGCACGTGCTAATTTTTTGACTGAGTTGTTCCAGACTTATTGGTGCTCTTAGCGTTTTATCCTAAATATACGAACACATTCATTTATCAATGTTTAATACATGATGCAAAAATTTGCCTAATTATGAAACTCCTTATAAGGGTTAACTAATTAATACATTTAAATACATTTAATATTTAAGGGATTTAACTTAAATAAGTCATTATAATATAAACTTATATAATATACATTTTATATATATAATTAAAATTTTATGTATATAATATAAATTTTATATATATAATATAAATTTTATATATAAAATATAAATTTTATATATATAATATTAGTTTTATATATATAATACAGATTTTATATATAAATATAGTTTAATATATTTTTACTATAAAATAAAAACAGAAGAAAATAATGCAACCATAATTTTACAATTTCCATTAAAACTTCTAGTGAGTTTTATAAAAAATATTTTATCTATAAACTCTTATATTTATACTTTAAAACTTTTAAATTTTTTACATACCATAATACATCATGATTAGAAAGTGAAATTAGATTATATCTCATTTACGTGAGTGCTTAATAGAGTTTTATAGCCTATTCACACCGCACAAGTAAATATAATTTTGCTCGTTTAGCTCACTTCGGTAAAATCATGTTCACACCATGAGTTATCATAATTTAGTTGCGTTAAGATATTTGTTTTTAAAGTTGTGTTTTTCAAAAAAAATGCGGACATTTATTTTGCATTACTTTGCTTTTAATTTTATTTTCTACAAATTACAATACAATTGTGATTTTGGTAGTTGTTTGTATTTGATTTTTGTCTGACTGTTATATCAAGTAGATCTTGTAACGAAGAGAGTCGAAGGACCCGAATAAGCATAAATGCAGTAAAAATTATGATAACTTGTGCAATGTTAATAAGTTAGAAAGAACTACATCTACAAGAGGGTGAAAAATCTACTGTTTTTGTAATTATGACAAAAACTTGTAGTTGTTGTATATGTTGTAATTAGGGTTAATATGAAGGTTTAGCTAAAATTAAAAACTATTCATATTTTAATAAGTTACATATGTCATAACTGATACAGATATTATCAAATCGATTAAAATACTATAGATATATTCAGATATAACTAACCTGTAAGGTTAATTATTAATTATTTACTTGATATTTAAATAATTATTAATTATTTACTTAATAATTAAATGATTATTAATTATTTATTTAATAATTAAATAATTATGATTGTTTCTCGGTAATATTTTAAAATTATATTACAGAAACAGCTGTCTTTGTTTTTTAATTATTTTTTACATAAAAACAAAAGGGAAAAAAATTGAAAAATTAAATTTATTTTTATTACTATCAATTTTCTTTATTTATTATTTTATTAAACACTTGAAATTAAAATTAAATTTTGCATAAAACTTCAAAATAATAAGAATCATTTGTATCTTGTATCTTGAACACTTATATTTCCATTTATCTTAAACACTTTGTCTACTAACCGTGTACGTCAAAATATTTATTTAAATTTTTAAAGAAGTATTTATTTTAAATTTCAAATTGATCCAACTCTTCAGCTAATGTTTGAGCGGAATACCAGAAAAGATTATAAAATCTGTTGCCTCGGTAATTTCTTAACTTGGTAATGTTGTAATGTTAGAAAAAGAAATATACTTAAAACGTTATCAATTTACCGATTTACCGAACACTTCTGAATATGTATAAACTTACAAGTAATTAAATCCCATAATACTTTTTTTTGTTTGAAGTTTGGTTTTTGTATTATAAAGTGTATTCATTACTTCACATTTGTAAAGTTGCGGGTTAGATTTTAAAGGTGTTATTGTTATCATTCACACCTATACTGGATTCACAAGAGACTTTTGTTCGTAATTTTAGTTGTCAAAAATTTTTAAAACACATCTGAAATCAAAAAACAATAATACACCTTTTTTTTTGTAAGCATATCACAAAAGAACAACCGCTTATTTTAAAAATAATATATGAAATAACAATACTGCTGGCTCAATTATTCCAACCTTTTTGAAATCGTTTAACTAATAAGCAGCTCAAATAGCATGGTTGCCAAGACTAAAAATTCTATTCTTTTTCTATTTATTATTACTTGTAAAAGGCATGAAAATTCATATTTTATTTACAATCATGTAAAAAAAATATTCTTACTAATAATTGCAAAGAACTATTATTCATTTTCGAAATTTTAACTTTAAATTTTATTACATGTTTTGCATATGTAAGCCTAACATAATTCTATTTTGTCTAGAGTTACCTCCGAAAGTAGTGCTTATTTTATTTGTTCTTTTGCGACTTTTTAACTATCCCAAAATATTTACTTTGCACATATGATATATACTTTACACATATGATTAATAACAGTTTTGTTTCATTTTGCATGAAAACTATTCATTCTTTCTTCAAAACTATTCACAATAACACAAGTTGGTACTGGACAATACTGTACTACAGTGAACTGTCAAATCAGTTTGATTTTGTGAAAATGTAAAAACTGTCAAGGTTCGCATAAAAATCTTCCTGATTTGAACTTGTTTTGCTGTCGAAATCAGAAATAATTTAAAATAACAGCTAAAATTAAAAACAAAACTCTCGTGAGAATCCAGTATTACACGCTGACACAACTATTACCCATTGTGATGCGACTAACAATTTTTTCCTATGCAACTTCACGTGTTATTCTTGTTAAACCATTTAATTTACCGAAATAACGCAGATTCGATAAGTCTATTTTCGTTAACTCTCTATCAGGTCAGCAAAGAAACGGTCTTCTAAACTTTGGAGCCGATCGTCATTTTTTTGGGTAGAGATATTAAAAGATATAGATAGATTCTAATTTTTCTTTATCATAACAACTTCTACATATGCACCTTGTTGTTATGTCCCAGAAATCACATTAACTTATCTAGGAATATATTATAGTAGAATGATAATATTTAAAATTTAAGATTCAGTTTATGAAATTTGATCGGAATTTTTATGCGAAATAGTTACTATTCCAATATTATTACTACTTTTATATGTTACATGAGATTTATAAATGGGATAAAATAATATGTAGTCATTTCTAAATGTATAGTTTTTTTCCTTAGCAAGTATAATAATATCTATGTGTTTTGAAATAAGATTATTATAATTTATCCTTATATTAACTAATATTAAGGTTTTATTTTTAATTTTGTTTATATTTTATTAACTCTCTGTACCGCTTACCCACTTGACTGCCTTTAAATTAATCAATATTGAATTTTATTTTTATATTGAAAATGTGAATGCAAAGGTTTTCTTCAAAAATTTTTAAGACCATAGCTACTTTTTCTTCGTTAGTTTATATTTTGTTTTAATTTTTTTTTAATCTTTCTTTCTTTTTATATAATTTTATTTTCTTTATATACCTATTTATTCCATTTTAATATTTTTCTTTTAAACATATTTTTTTTGGTGCTGTTAACTAGCACTTTGGCTTTCTTATTGTTTTTCTTTTTCTTTATATATTTTTTTATTTTATTTATTTTTCTTTATATATATTTTAATTTTATTTATTTTTCTTTATATATTTTTTTATATTTATTTTTTACATATATTTTTTTATTTTATTTATTTTTGTTTATATAATTTTTTATTTTATTTATTTTTCTTTATATATTTTTTTATTTTGTTTATTTTTCTTTATATATTTTTTTATTTTATTTATTTGTCTTTATATATTTTTTTATTTTATTTATTTTTCTTTTTTTGTTTTTTTTTTTATTTTATTTTTATTTTGTTTGTGTTTTTTTCTTTTTTATTTTTTCAATATTTTTTTATTTTTAATCTTTTTTACTTTTTTTTTTTCTTTATATATTTTTTTAATTTATTTATTTTTCTTTATATATTTTTTTATTTTATTTATTTTTCTTTATATATATTTTTATTGTATTCATTTTTCTTTTTTTTTTATTTTACTTTTTTTTTATTTTACTTTTTTTCTTTTTACTTTTTTTTTTTCTTTTTTTCTTTTTATTTTTTCTTTTTTTCTTTTTATTTTTGTTTGTCTTTTTATTTTTTTAATTTTTTTTCTTTTTAATCTTTTTTACTTTTTAATATTTTTCTTGTCAATATATTTTTTTGGTGCGGTTAGCTACCAATTTGACATTGATCAATTGTTGAGTTTTTATTCAATTCTAAAAAAGTTTTGTAAGAAACATCGTCTACATTTTTTTTGGTTTTACTTGCTTTTTACTAATTAATTTAATTTTTACTTATTTTAATATATTTAGATGAGTTGAGTTTTTGACTTTAATGTTTGATATGACTGAAGTGAAGGGGTTGACTTTGAAATTGATATGTAAATTATGGAACCCGAACATTTTGAGCTTGTCAAAATGTTTGGAACTCAAATATTAAGTTTAAGGTTTATTTTTGAAGTTATATTAAGTAGAACTTGTGTGAATGGTTGGAAAAATTTCACCAATCATAATTATATTCTAGTAATAAACATTTCACTTCTTCTCTTGAACTGGGAACGATCAAACATAAATGGCGCCCCACGTTGGGCGCAAATTCTATTTAATGTAACTTAACTATTAAACCTTAAACTTAATATTTGAGTTCCAAACATAACTTGTACTCAATTTATTAAGGCAATTCATTATGCAGTAGATGTCACCAACAATATATAATTAAATTACTTTAGTAAATATTGTTAAAAATTTATTTTTTTTTATTATTTATTA